AACTATTGCCCTAAGTAGTAAACTATTTTTCTTGCTTATGTTAACACAGCAAATAAACTAAAATCTGTTGCATCTTAAAAATTAATAAATATCTTTTTTGGAAATATAAAACAAGTTCGGACATATAACTTTGTAGAACAATTGTCTTTAGTGGGAAAATAAGTCTGATGACAGCTTTGCTATTGACCTAGAGATGCTCAAATTTCATTCTTATTAGAGTAAATATTCTTATTTACTACTAAATAATTTAATTTACAGGAAACAAATGTAATTCAATACTTAAATTAGGCCAAGTCTCAGGAGTACTGAGGATTCTAATTGCTTCCAAGGAGCATAGGTTAGTTTGCATTTAGATGTTTGGGCTCATTTACCAGTATGGTTTAGGCAGGACTTTGCCCAACTCTATCCTTCTCTGCATGTTAATTCAATACCAACTTATTTCAGAAAAAGCAATTAAGAGTGAAGTTTACCACAGGTTTATTGTTAAGCAGTAGTTGGAATCCTTCTCTCTTCTCCTGGTCAGTGCCTCTGTGTAAGCGATCTGCTTGGTGCAGCAACTGAGCAAGTTCTTCTTCTGAAGCAGTGTCCAAACTCAACGCTGCTTCATCTTCATTGACAAGGTCCAGGGAATCTCTCCTTGCAGTTCTAATTGTTTCACAGCTGATTTCATCTTCTCCTTCATCACTCTCTTTATCAGATTCCCTATCATAATCGGATTCTGCATTGGCTGTAGTATAGCTTTAAAGGAAACATAGTATTTATACTACCATGATGTCAAGCATATGCAGAATTTAAAAATCAAACAATCAATGTCTAAATTAAAATTCAACAGTAAGAATTCTAGCTCACTATGAGCAAGCAGTGTATCCCACTTATTCTAACTGGCTCCTGCCATTTTACACATACCACTAAACTAACAAGAAACTGAATGCTAATATTATTTGAATCTGGGTCATTGGCTTTTTGTGTTCCTTAAATGAAGATGGCAAACCAAGACTTGCTCCTGACTTATGAATCCTGGGTTTTTAAAGAGCAAGTAAGTAACCCCAGTTTGAAAATTTAGTTAACTTTCAGATGTTGACCCAAGCAGAATGAGCCTAGTGGGCACAAATGGGTGGTATATATAAACATGTAATTGATTCAATCATCAAGTCTTCTTGAAACTCTTAGCTCACCCTGTATGGGAATGTAGCTAATATGTCAAAGGTAGATATAAATATATTAAGTACTAAATGCCTCAAAGCCTGACTTGGAACTATTATTTCTGAGCCACAATATGGATACATGATTATCACTCTGATACCTACTGAATATATGACTACAATGTATCAGAAAAAAAACACCTAAAATATTAGGACTCCTTAATATAAAAATATTAATATTAACATTAATCTTAATCTTAAAAGCCAGTTTGATGTAGGTTAAAGGCACTGAGCTAGAAACGGAGAGACTAGGAGTTCTAGTCCTGCCTTAAGCATAAAGCCAGCTAGGTGGCTTTGGACCGATCACTCTCTCTTAGCCCTAGGAAGGAGGCAAGGGCAAAGTACTTCCAAAAATGCTGCCAAGATGTCCAAGCAATTGCCAGAAATCAAGACTGACATAAAGGGACCAAAAAAAAAAAAAAGGCTCATAATTCTCATTTTCAGCCTTACCCTTGATGTTCTGACAGCAAATGCAAATTAAATGTTTTACTATTGCCTTGTTCTGTTGATCAGGCAATATTAAATTTAACTATTCCTTGTTCTAAACTAAATGTTCCTTACCCCCCCTCACTTTCTCCATCATCTGTGTTGGCTGCTCCTGAGCTGGCTGTGAAATATATTGAGCTGGATCCTGTGGAATCACTTCTTTCTCTGGGATATATAAAACGTCTCCGCCGAGTAACCTTTTGGCTTTCTTCTAGATGGGACCTGCAAGGTTAGAGATTAGCATGACAATAGAGCCTTACGATATTCCATGGCCCATTTTCCCTTCTTTTTCCTAACCATCAAAATGATTTTTTGTTCTGTTCAGTACAATTCAAAATGACTCCAACTCCAAAACAGACATATTTAAGAAATGTATGCTTTGCTTTTCCCCTTCAAAAATGGGAGGATTGATCAAAGTTTAGCATCCATATAATAAAGTGGGGTTAATGTAACATGGAAACAGAATATTCAGATCCATTTCTCTCAGCAGCAGCATAGGAAAAGAAAAGACTGGGGAGAACCCAAAAGGAGGGATAAAGAACCTAGTACATCAACATTACTGCAAAAATAATACAGGAAAAACACATTCTCTTGAAACAGTCATACTTCTTATTTCTTATTAACTATAATTTTATTATCATGAAGAAAGTAGAACTAATTGTAAAATGAGCACTTACTAACTCAGGCTAAATGACTGGAAGCTCAGTGTTTCAGATTAAAATTGTATGTACAGCTTTAAAATAAAGGCTTTGCCTGTTTCCCACATCCTTTCTCTTAGACAGGACTGTCTCCTATTTCTTACACTGCTACAAAATGAAGCAATAATTGTATCTGATACAACAGTTGTTTTGACATTCAGAATTATTAGGCTGCAGTTCTTTCTTCTACTAAAAAACCAAAATGAAGCTATATCCAAAGGGAGCATTAGTGAGGCTACACTAGGAAACTAACTGCTCTGCATCCAACAGCAAGAGTAAAGCTGTCACCTAGTGATCACACACAAATCTTAACCAATAGTCACTGGATTCTGCAACCTGGAATCTTCTGCAGCCTGGAATCTGAGAAAAACTGATACAAACCTGACTTCTCCAATAATTCCTCCAGCTAAACTCTGTAGGCTATTCCGTAATTCCTCCACTTCATGTCGTAGCTCTATAAGGCTTCTGAGCACTAAATCAAGACGGTTCAGGACTTCAGACTGCTCTTCATGTTTTAGAAGGGATGTATATGGAACACTATCACCGCCCTCCACTGGTTCTGGTCTCATCCATGGAACTAGTGTGAGAAAAATGAAATAATTACAAAAAGGTTACTTCACCTGAACTGCACAATACTGCTGCTAGTGGTTAATTTTTGAAATTCTAGATATGTGGACAAAACCCAGAGCTGCATACATGCATTTGATTAGTAGTCCTGGATCCTAATTTTATATCCAGTTATTTCTTAATCAATCTACTATAAACAAATCTCAATTTAATTTCTGGGGCTGATGGGGTGTGAATACCTTTGTGTTAGGCTGGTATGTAGAGACAGGATAGGGATCCTGTTCATGGACTGCCTGTCCTGCTCTAAGGCAAGATCTCTTTGTGAGCTGATGGGTTTTGTTACAGGGCTGGCACGGGAGTTTCCCTGAATATTAGTGCTGAGGAACCTCAATTTTTAGGCAGCACATCTGGCAGGGCTCAGGATTTCTACAGTGACCATGGGCCTGTCCTAAGTAATCTTGGGCCTCATGCATATAGCTGAAGGCTGCTGAATCTTGTCTTTGTTTAGGAGCAGTTGTGCTGACCACTGAGAGCCATTACTGAGTTACACTGATATTGTGGGTATGACACTGGTTGCCAGGAGAGACTATTAAATCCCCAAATGGCTTGGCCACCTTTTCCAGGTAGAGCTGACTTGTCCTATATATTTGTCCAAGTAGGAATGCTGTGAATTGCTGTTCCATATGAGCTGAGGAGCCTGGGGACACAGTTTTATAGCTGGTGGTCCCTATGGAGCAGCCTCCCCCTGAAGATCAAATTGACTTCTGAAATGAAACCAGTTGTGTCAATCAAGCTTTCAAAGGCCCTTATTCTGAAGGGCCTTTGAATGCTGGAGTTGGTTATGTGGGTTGATGCTATCTGATGTAAAACTAATACTTATACCTCTTTTGTTTATTTTTACAATATTCTTATTATGTTCTACTTACACAATTTTATGCTTTTGTGGATGTTAACTTCCAGAAGTCTTGGGATTCACTCAAGCAGCAAGAAAGGGACCAATTTCACACATAGACAGAGATATTTCACACACAGACCCAGAGAAATGTGCCTGAACTGAGAAATCAGAGCCCAAGTCTAGCTTTAGGAACAATGTATCTCATAATAATTCTGATGACACCAAAAAACAGCAAGTTGCTGTCTCGGTAAATAGCCTTTATTTTTCTGGTAAGTGGCATGGAAGAAGAATCTTCATGTATTAAACCTAACATATAAATAGAAATGCTTTGTTATGTTCCTAATCATACAAAAAAGCCCTGTGTGCACTGTTGAAATTATTTTAAAATAATCGGAATAGAATTCATGATTTCATTTAGGAGAATACAGGGATCATGATCTCAAATCGTATCTACAGTGGAATTAAGCAAAGTAGTAGAAAACACTGGCACTGAATTTCAAATTCAGTGAGGAATAATGATCTAATACAATCTCTTACTACTCTGAGTAAGTGCAGTCTTGAATAAATAAAAATGCAAAATAAATTAATCACCAACTTACCCTGATTATAAGGATGAAGGGTTTCTGCATGTTCCTGATCATACATAGCATTTTGCTGACAATGTACATTTGGGTATCTTGGGTTGCTTTTCTGACTGGACTTCTTTCTCTTCTGTTTGTAGAAGTAAAAGATGAGACCTATTCCTGCGGCTGCTCCCAGAACTACACCAAGTCCCACACGAAAGACCCCTGCTTTGGACATGATTCATCTGAAGTAAATTAAATAGTACAGGTTTAGTCCATGCAGGAGAAAGACCTACATCATATCATGTTAAAAGTAACCCATGTGAACCCAAAATACTTAAAACCTTCTCTTATGTATTTTAAGGGCAGCACATGGCAACATAACTTTCATTGTCTCAACCATGTATGCTTGACAGTAGATTGCTTTAAAAAATAAATTAAATAATGCTTGGTGACAATGGCAATTTCTTGCTTAATTTCAATTAGAATTAGATTCTACTCTGAGAAAGTATTAGAACATTTCCTTAAAATTTAGACTTTGCCTATATAATTGCTTGAAGACGCAGGATAGTTTAAAGACACTGGATATTGAAAATCACGTGACTTTAGGCACTCCCCAACATATGTATCAGTTTTTGAAATCTTTGTATAACTTGATTTTTGCATAAACTGGAACCTGACCAAGCATTGTCCCCCCAAACCAAACTTACAAATTTCTCAAGTGATAACTGATGAAGATGAAAGCCTCTACCTTATAGTCTCTTGTGGGAGTTGCTGCCCATCTTAAGGTTTCACTCTGTTGTATTCATCTATGCCCCCTATTGCTTTGGATGCATGCATAACACATTTCTTTTTACAAACCTTGAAAATTATGCGTCTTATAGATATAGCTGCATGAAGTCCAATTTATGTAAGTCAGGTCTTATACAACCTGGGGAGCATCTATACTAGAATGGAGCTTCCGATTAAAAAGCTTCATGTGTCTTCCTATACTATGAAATGACAAACCAAGCAACTACTCTAATGCTTCCATTTCAAAGCAGGATGCAGGACCTAACCTCAGAGCGTGCAACCATTTCAAAGAACTCTGTCCACATTTTTCTTTGCAGGCCAAGTTTTCCAAGTCAACATGCACACCAATGAAACCAACAGTACAACTGTCACTTACATGCACATGTATGTTTCCCTTTTCTATGGTCAATACTCATGGAGAAAATCTATCTATGTGGTCGCTAGGAGTCGAAAATGATTTGATGGCACATAAAGAGGAGAGTGCAAAAGCTGGCTTGAAACTCAACATTAAAAAAACTAAGATCATGGCATCTGGACCCATCAATTCCTGGCAAATAGAAGGGGTAGAA